CTTTTATTTTGAAAAATAAGCATTTGATTTATTTTTGAAAGCAATAATCCATTTTAGAGGATTTCAAAAATATGGAAAATTGTTATTACTTTAATACAAAACAAAAATTATGACAATCAGTTGGAAAGCTTCACTATGCTAAGTTTCTCTCTGGCAATGTCAGTCTCAGAGGTCTGGGATGAATACTTCTGTGTGACTACCTGAAAGTGGAGTAAGTGAAAGTAATGAAATTATTAATGCCATGTCCCTCCACCACAGACTAGTGTTATATTTTGGAGTATATGCTTATGAATAGATGAAAGTTAGATATCTGGGTCATATTACTAAGTATATTTACTTCATTATTTAATTTCACAATTTATCATAATCATTTTCAGTTCTATAACCTGATTTTAATAGTTTCATGGGAAATTATTAATATAATAAAGAAAAACAATAATTTTAACTAGTTTAGTAGCTCGGTTCCATGTTTTGGCCATTATGGTTAGCAGTGCAATGGAAAACTCTGTGCAGAAATATCCATGTACAACTAGTTCTTTAGAACAGTTTTCAAGGAGTGGAATTTCTAAGTCAAGGGACAGAAATCCATATTGCCAAATGAACCTCAAGACGAATCTCACTATTTCCTATTGGCAATGTACAGGAGAGTGCCTATTTCACCACCCTGGTGAGGGGCTTCTCTCTTGATTCACAGATACGTGTGCATGTATGCATGCAGGTATATACATGTGTGAGCATGTATGTAAAACTATTAAAACAGCTATGTCAACTCCACCCCAGTGTTACTTTTATTATCAAAATCTGAACTTTGACTCAGTTTTTATGTTTGTGAGCCATTGGAATAAGGAACTACAATCAAGATAGATATAGATATTGATAAGAGGCTACTATAATTTTCTTTGATCATGACATACTCAAATTATATTGGCATCCATTAGCATTTTCTGATATGCTCAGTTTATCTCTAGGAACATCACTGTTTGAGTTCTGGGATTAATTCTTCATTCAACTATGGAAAAGAAGTGAGTGAATGTAGGTCGGATATCAGATGTGATAAAGGATTATTTTATATGAAGAAATAGAGGTTACTCATCCAGACAGAAAAAAAATCATTCATTCCACAAATGTATTTAAGTGTGTATACTATGTGTCAGACACTGTATTGAGACCAATGACATACTAGTAAACAAAATAAAAACTGTGTATGGCTAATTGGAGCTAAAAGTTAGGCTTTCGTTGAGAATTCAACGAGTGAATACACTTCAAGTAGTTAGCTATCATCATCATTATGATTGTTCATATTATTATATATACAGTGTTTTATTTTTCTAACTGAAGGAAACAATTTTTATCAGTTTCTAGTTTCCAGAAATGAATCCTGAAACCCCAGGCCACTGCATCAAGACAAATCTAGTAAGGGGAGGACAGGCTTAGTGAGATTGGTGTATTTTTGTTTGAGCTTAATTTTCTTTTTTTTTTTTCTTTCTTACACAGTAACAGTTTATTTATTTTTCATCACATTATGGAGGTACAAATGTTAAGGTTATGTATATTGTCCTTGCTCCTCCCCTCGAGTCAGAGCTTCAAGCATGACCATCCCCCAGATGGTGCACATCTCACTCATTATGTGTGTGTATGTGTGTATATATATATATATATATATATATATATATATACCTATCCCCTCCTCCGCCCTCCCACCTGTCCAACACCTGATAAATGTGATTCCTATATGTCCACTTAGGTGTTGATTAGTTAATACCAATTTGTTGGTGAGTACATGTGGTGCTTGTTTTTGCAGTCTTGGGATACTTCATTTAGTAGAATGGGTTCCAGCTCTAGCCAGGAATATACAAGATGTGCTATATCACCATTGTTTCTTATAGCTGAATAGTACTCCATGGTATACATATACCACATTTTATTAATCTACTCATGTATTGAGTTTAATTTTCTAAACACCCATGGCATTGTTGTCTAAACTAGGTGTAAATTCAGAAGATTATCTGCTTCTCAGCATCAGTGGCTATTAGTCATTGGTGTCTCTTGCATCCAGAGAAAATTTCTTTTCTTTGTATATGTTTTCTGTTTACCCTTTTGATTCTTTTGCTTTACCCTTTTGATTCTTTTGGTTCTTTTGCTGTGCAGAACTTTTTTAGTTTGATTAGGTACCATTTGTCTATTTTTGGTTTTTTACATTTGCTTTGGGGTCTTAGTCATAAATTGTTTGCCTAGGCCAATGTCCAGAAGAGTTTTTCCTAGGTTTTATTCTAGTATTTTTATGGTATCAGGTCTTAAATTTAAGTCTTTAATCCATCTTGAGTTAATTTTTGTATATGGTGAAAGATAGGGATCCAGTTTGATTCTTCTGCATACGGCTATCCAATTTTCCCAGCACCATTTACTGAATAGTGTATGTTTTTGTCTTATTTTTCAAAGATCAGTTGGTTGTACTTATATAGTTTTATTTCTGGATTCTCTATTCTGATCCATTGTTCTATGTATCTACTTTCATGCCAGTTCAATTCTGCTTTGGTTACTATAGCCTTATAGCATTATTTGAAGTCAGGTAGTATGATGCCTCCAGTTTTGTTTTTTTTGTTGTTGTTGTTCTTTTTGCTTAGGATTGCTTTGGCTTCAGGTTTTTTTTTGTTGTTGTTGTTCCATATGAATTTTAGAATTCTTTATTCTAATTCTGTGAAAAATGACATTGGTATTTTGATAAAAACTATATTTGATCTGTAGATTCTGCTGGGCAATGCAATCATTTTCACAATATTGATTCTTCCAATCCATGAACTTGGGATGTTTTTCCATTTGTTTATATAGTCTATGATTTCTTTCATCAGTGATTTGCAGTGTTCTCCTTGTAGATATCTTTCACCTCCTTGGTTAAATTTATTCCTAGGTATTTTCAGATTTTTGCAGCTATTGTAAATGGAATTGACTTTTTGATTTGGTTCTCAGCTGGACATTGTTGGTGTATAAAAATGCTATTGATTTTTGTATGTTGATTTTATAACCTGAGAATTTGCTGAATTTGTTTATTAAATCTAGGAATCTTTTGGTGGAGTATTTAGGGTTTTCTATATATAAGATCATACCATCAGCAAACAAAGAAAATATGACTTCCTCTTTTCCAATTTAGATGTCCTTACTCTTGCCTGATTGCTCTGTCTAGGACTTCCAGTGCTATGTTGAATAGTAACGGTGAAAGTGGGCATCCTTGTCTTGTTCTAGTTCTTAGGAGGAATGCTTATAACTTTCTCCTATTCAGTATAATGTTGGCTGTGGGTTTGTCATATAATACTAAAGGTTAAAGGTAAAAAGCTCGCAAATAGCTAAGGCAATTTTGGGAAAGAACAAACAAGGCAACTGAGCCTGAGAGATATCAGTTGTTAACTATGAATCTCTAGTAATAAGGAAAACACTGAATTCATGGGAAAAAAAAGATGGAAAAGGAATAATATAAAAAACTTATTTCTTCTATGTAACTGAATGTTTGTACCCATTAACAAGCCTCTCTTCATCCCCCTCATATTTCAAAACAGCTAGAAGAGAGAACTTGAAATTTTCTAACACAGAGAAATAATAAATAATTGAAGTGATAGATATCCTAAATACCTTGACTTGACCATTACACATTCTATACATGTAACAAAATATCACATGTACCCTACAAAAATGTACAAATATTATGTATGTATCATTAAAAAAGAATAAAGAATAAAAAAGTATTAATGTAGAGCCTAGACACACACAGATATGGAGAAACCTATATTATAATAGGCTATTATTATATTATCACAAAACATTGATTAACAGAGTAGCAATAAAATATGACACAATTTATTCTTAATAAAGATTAATATATGAAAATGTTTCCTCCTGCCATTGATTCAGATAAATTATAGTCCTAACTATTAAGGAAATAAAAGCCTGTTGCCATTCATGAGGCTGAGATAACACAAATAAAGCCAGCCTTGAAGTTAACAGGAAGCATTATTTGTTCTGAAGATGCACCACACCTATAAAGTTTCAAAACAGCCCCCTGTAGTCACTTTGCTGATTGGGATTTCATCATTAGAAATGAAATGTCTCCTCCTTTCTAGAGGACCTTGGTCATTCTGACACAGAGAAGCAGCTTCAATCTCTAATCCAGGAGTTTCTAGAGATGACATTCACTTCTCCCTTGTCATTTTCAAGGAAATAGATCTTGGGTTGACTTTGCAATCCAGACCTGATGTCAGCCCCTTTAGACAGATCTCTGCTTGGCTTTGAGTTTATCAAAGTAATTGCTTTATTTAAACTCCACTGAAATTTCACCCTTCCCTAAATTTTTGTAAGTCTATCTTTTCCTTTGGTGAAATCCTGCACTGTTCCTTTGTGCAGAGTCTTCCTCATTATAATAGCTTCATACACCTTATTTCATTAGAGTGCACGTGTGTTTCTCATGGTCAGGATAATTGGAATAAGACAATATATTTGGGGAAAAAATCAACATTGATAGAATATTTCACTGGAGAATATTTTGGGGAAAAATTAAAAATTTAAAGAAAATAAAAAGCACAAATTACATAGAGAAATATGAATAACTTTAAATACATAAAATTAAATACTCCTAAATTTATAATATATACCATAAAAAGATGAAAACAAATGATATTTTAAGAGATCTTCCCATGATATCTAATGAACAAAAGTTGAGTATTAAGAAAAAATAGTTTAAAAAATAAAAGTAACCAACTGAAAAATGAACAAATGATATAGTGAATTTGTGACTGGTATATATGTGTAGATGATTGATAGATAAATGATTGATAGATAATATGTGACAGATAAGAGAGAAATATATATGTTCATATTAGTCATAAATCTATGAAAACATAAATTAATGTAATAATAAGAGACATTATTTACCATTAAAATTAGAAAGCATTTTAAAAATACTTTAAATATAGCAAATATTTAGGTGGATAAGAGAGAAAAAAGTAAATTTATCCAATATTCTCAGGAATAAACACAGTGAGTACATCAACTGTGAATACCAATTTGATCACCTTATGAAATTAAAATGGTACATATTATTAACCAGCTTTATTTCCTTGTGATAGGAGATGATTAGAAGAATATTCATTATAATCATTTTTAATTTTAAAATGAAGAACAACCTAAAACATTCTAACGTGCATGACAAAGGAATAAAGTGGGGAGATTCCAAATGAATAATGCTGAGTCAAAGATGAAAGTGTACAAATATATCTATACAGTGAATCTATTCCTATAAATAAAGACTATACACAAATAAGAGGAAAGTCACATGTTCCCAATTATACTTTCTGCTACCTAAAATCTCTTCCTTTGGGGAAATCCTATTTTTCATATCTTTTTATTTTGATTAAAGAAATATAGAAAAAGTGTGAATTCTATGTGTGTATAAGAGTATAAATTATTACCTTATCTAAACAGCAGGAAGTCAGTTACCATTAACTGAATTAACCTGTTGTTTGTGTGAACTGAGTGAAATATTTGTGTTTGTTTTTGTTGCTTATGAAAGACAGTATTTCTAAGCATTTTCCAGAATGTTGATTTCATGTCCTTGTTCTTCAGACTGTAGATGATAGAAGTCAGGGTTGGTGGCATCATGGTACAGAACACAACACCAGCAAGTCCCACACAGAAGGGCACTCTGACGCTGGCTTTTGGTAGGTAGTGGACCCTGTATTGAGGGAGAATCACCACCACAAGACAAGTAATGCTTGTTGAGAAGGCTTTTGACCTGCCTTCCATTGATTGTATCCTCGGAACAGTGGAGAAGCTGTGGATATAAGAAAACAGCATTAAAAGAAAAGAAATGTGTGGGGGAGAAGGGATGCCTCCTCTGAACAGGTGGAAGGGGGGAGAAGGGGAAGGGTACGCACTTTCATGGTGGGTGTAGGGTGCGCCACTTGATGACTAGACATGCTTGAAGCTCTGGCAGAGCGGGATGGGGAGGGGGGCAGGGGCAAGATATGTAACTCTAACAATATTTGTACCCACAGAATTTGGGGAAAAAATAAATAAATAAATATTATAAAAAAAGAAAAAGAAAAGAAAAATAATCACCAAAGATGTTGTGACAATTAAGGCTCCAATCTCAACAAGGTACTTCTCTGAGCAGGAGAGTTTGAGTAATGGGGGATCTCACAGAAGAACCACTGGACAAAACTTGATCTACAAAGTGGTATTAGGAAGGTGACTGATATATTGAAGCACCCAGAGACAACTCTACTGAGCTACAAAGTGCCACCATCTGCTAAAGAGCCCCTTTTTCATGATGACCTGATAACACAAATCTATCAAGGGACATCACCGTGAGCAAGGCCAGCTCTGCACAAGCAAACAAAACAACTAAAAAGACCTGTATCACTTGCCCCAGGAATGATGCAGAATTATTTGGGGTCAAGGTTTGAATAATGGCCTTGGGAACCCCGACGGAGATGGAGTGGAGATCTCGCAATGACTGTGTTCTCAGCAGGAAGTACCTGGCACTTTGCAGGTGCTGGTCCAAGGCGGCAAGAACAAGGAGAAGGTGCAGCCAGAGCTGTCAGAGAGATGAGTAGAACAGCACAGCCTAGAGGCCTTGCTGCTCCTGGGTGTCTGGCACTCCCTTGAGGATGAATTCGTCACCAACACAGTGATCTTGGCCATGATACTCTTCTACCTGCAGTATGGGAAAAAAATTGTAAGACTTTTTTTTGTTTACAACTAAATATTGTGTAACCCTATAGTTTGAAAGTTACGTATTTATTTCTGTTCAATATCATAAGAGAAAACTGTTGTATTGACACAAATTAACCAATATTTCTCTTAGTTTTCTAATATTAACTACGTATGTTTCCATTCTGTAAAATGTTTGAAACAAAGGGGGTATAATCTTAACCCTGACAAAATACAATCTATATTATTTAGGAGAGCCTGTATATTAGATTATCTAAGCCACGAATACAGAAAATGATCTGAGTTAATATTTTCACAATCCTATTAAGGATGCTACATAACTAGTATAATTTTTGATACATTGATGAGATATTAATTCATAATATCCAATGGACACTTTTGACACTGTGGCATAATTCTGTCTCTGAATTTACAGACAGAAGCTGATAACTTTTTTGTATGTTAAATATCACAAGCCAGAGGATTTTAAAGGCTTTTTCTCAGGGTTTTAAAAATGTGTACAATTCACAGGATTACAAGAAAACCAAGTTATATATAATGCCATTCTATCCAAGAGCCCACCTTCCCCCAAAAGGGTCTGGGAACTTCAGCTCAATGTCCAGTTAGAGTACAGCGGGATCTCTTCATTCACGTGCATACTGAGAATCACTTCCTCCTTTACGTTTCACAGACAACTCTCTTGATGTATATACTAGTGGACATTTCAGAAAGAAAAACATTTTGTGCTCCAGTATGCTTCAAAATACAGGACTTAATAAAATTATTAAAATTTTCTGCACATCTACTTATTTTGAATATGTCAAATGGCACTTTGTCTAGGCTAAAGTAAAAAGTAATATTCAAAGAAATAAGTAGTCAAACATGTAATTTTAAGACAACAGAATAAGAGGGATTCCAACAGGGAAGATCAAAAAAGAAATGAAAAAGTAGTACAGAAATAACACCGGATTCCAAAATAATGCTAACTAAATGCAACCAAAATCACTCGGGCACAAGTTAGATTGGATTTAACAAAATCACACAGTATGAACTGGAAAAAAGGGAAAAGAAGATCTGGGAGATGATGCAGGTGAAGTTAACTATGTCAAATTTAATGGAGGGATATTTACAGATTTTTGCCATGACTCTTTATGTAACCAAGTCGTGGATATGCAGTTTCTTCAGGCCTAAAAGACGTCAGGTAACCTAGCACTCATTCAGAACAGAAAATAAATAAATAAATAAATAATGAATATTAATAGAGAAGTGGAGACCTTACTATAATAGTGAATAAATATTGAATATTGCATTTTGAGTCATTTTAATAAAGACTAGATATATTGAAAATAATAAAAATTTAAAATTCAAGTATTACATACTTGATAATATGCAAATATAAGAATTAAAAGTGAAGGAAAATGGGGTGAGAAATGTAACTATGTAAATATTTTAAATCTTTTATAACAGGACAAATATATTTAAAATAAATAGATGACAATTTAAAAAAATGCAGTTATTTTAATAAATATTTCACAATCTAGTTGCTTAACATTAAAGGATTATATAATAGCAATTAATCCCTTTAGTGCAAATTCTGTTTACTTGCTAGTACACACTGAAAACAGTGTGCTTTTTTTCCACATTGTCACAGCAGGGCTAGTGTTACAAGAGTCCACTCCCTCAGGAATGGTAAACAGTGTGCAACAGCAGCAAACATTTGGTAAGGGAAGAACTATACATAAGGATGAATGGCTGCAATCATTACAGTGTTTAAGAAGTGTACATCATCTGGGTTCTACAAACAGTTGACATTTTTAAGTCTAACCCAGACAGAAACCAGGGCACCCCCAAAACAGTTGTTAATAGTGAAGCCACAGAAAGAGAGACACCACCTGTATCAAACTATCTGAGCTGATATAGTGGCAACAGTGGTAGGGAAAGACCCCAGGTGACATGTGCTATTGTGGGCTCAGAAGTTTTATGGATATTAGCAGACACAAATCTTAAACACTCATCAGTTGTTAGGGGTGTGGGAGAGCAAAGGTAAAAACAGGGGAAATAGCCATTGGGTCACAGGCCAAGTAGTAACTTCAGATTTCTGAAGAGTATGAGAAAACTATTTATTTGTGATTATTAGATGTATTTCTTCTTTAGAGTCTAGGAAGGTTAGGAATCACCGTGCCTTATTACCTGAAAAACAGATCCTTGAAGGAGGGATGAATCTTATGTTTATTTTGTATTTATTTATTTATTTATTTATTTATTTATTTATTTATTTATTTTTAGACAGAGTCTCACTCTGTTGCCTGGGCTAGCATGCCATGGCATCAGCCTAGCTCATGGCAGCCTCAAACTAACTCCTTGCTCAGGCGATCCTTCTGCCTCAGCTTCCTGAGTAACTGGGACTACAGTTGCATGTTACCACATCCGGCTAATTTTTCTATTTTTAGTAGAGATGGGTCGCACTCTTGCCCAGGCTGGTCTCGAACTTCGGAGCTCAAGAGATCCTCCTGCCTCAGCCTCCCAGAGTTCTGGGATTACAAGTATGAGCCACCACACCTGGCCGATTTCTTTTATTTAGAGAAAGCTAAGACTCTTAAGAAATAGAGATGTCTGGCAAATTAGAAGTGTGATCAACACACAGAAATCTCTTAATGTCAAAGTTTACCTTTTCTTTTAAACACAGGTGACCTCTAAATATATTTTGCAATTTAATGGTTTTTTTTCTTGTTTTAAGTCTCCTGACAGACCACATCATGAGTTATTGCCTATATTAAATATTCACTTCTCAAAAATCACCATTGGTAGGTGCTATTACAAGACACACTAGAAAAGAAGTAAATCTCTGAGTAAAGAAAGGAAAGAATGAGTTCCTCTTCAATTCAGACAGAGTTAAGCCATCCTGCCCAACTCCCCCATACACCACTTGTGCTCTCTTGCTCAATGTGTGTAAAGAGGTAGCTCCATTTTTAAATCACAGGCTGCATTTGAAGTTAACTTTCTCATAACTATCCCAAATCATTTTCTTTGGCTGGTACATAATAACCTTAAAACTTTTTTTTTTTTCATACACTGCCAAATGAAAATAACAAGAACAAAAATTGATAAATAGCACTAAAATATATTAAACCTAAATTCAGATGCAGATATGAAGCTAAAAATACTTAATGTCAGGGCCTCTCACATACACAAACCCTTTGGAGATCATATTTTGATTTTGTATTTGTATTTTTTGTTTTCTTTTTCTTAAGGAGAACACCCAACGTGTTTCATGTTTCTCAGAACTTAGGTTGGTTCTTTGATATTTCATATCAGTGATATTCTTCCAAAACTCACATTCTGTGACATCCAAACACTGGAGTTTCTTTCTGTGGAAATTATTATAAAGCACCTTACAGAAAAGTGTGTAAACATTCAATAGGAACTTATATCCCAGTTAAATCCAGGGTAAGGCTGTGTATCTTGCCTCTGAATTTTAATTTACATCACCTTGCCTCCTAAGTTATTATTTCACTTTTGTGTTTTTATACTTGAGCAAAGGGGTTGCCTTATATCATCCATGGAATTATGTAAGGAGATTGGTTAAAATTCAATATCACTTTAATTTTCCTGGCTTAAAAAATTTTGTTACAATATTAAACCCATTCTACTAAGTGAAGTATCCCAAGAATGGAAAAACAAGCACCACATGCACTCACCACCAAATTGGTATTAACACTTAAGTGCACATAGAGTAATAATATTCATCGAGTGTCGGGCAGATGGGAGAGGGGAGGAGGGGATGAGTATATACACACCTAATGGGTCTGTATGGATGGACACGCTTGAAGCTCTGACTCGGGTGGGGCAAGGGCAATCTATGTAACCTAAACATTTGTACCCCTGTAATATGCTAAAATAAAAATAACTAATTAAATTTTTTTAAAGTGTCACATTAAATAGCTTGATTACTTAGAATATGTCCTTTTACTTTCATAATCTTTGATATATGTGATTAACAAATAATATAATTTTATAATATTTTTAAGTTAATAAAAAATGAATTGTTATGACTTTCTAATGACTACCACCAAGTGGGGTAGAAGCAGAGAATCCTTCTTATATTTAATTTTGAAGATCCACCTCATATCCCTTTTTAAAAGATATTTTTATTTCTGATAAAAAAATTCTAGAAGATTGAGACATATTTCTATAATAGAAGCTATATATAGCATGATAGAAATGAATGTTTAATTATTTTATAAAATAAAAGACAATCTATGTGTTTGACTGTCTAGGGGGAAAAGTACACTTTCAAGGCGATTTCTTTCTTGTCAAAGACAGGGCTTTTGGTGGAGGCAAGAAGGCTTGTTCATGCTAACAGTCACTCAGCTCGTATCAAATAGCAATTTAGCCAGCTCATCACTGAAGTAACTCCGTGTATTTTATTTGAATAATTATGCAGAGTGAATTGTATTCTTTTTCTTGTGTGCTTGTATTTTTGATTTGAGCTAATTCTGGGGCTAGATAGATCATTGCGGTATTAAGTAATATCTGCAAAATAATCAAGGTATATATTTGAGGTTTACTGGCTCTTATACTGGATTTAAATCTTCTCAGGGTTGCAAAGACAGAGGGCTGAGGGCATGTTGGCAGGGCGATATAGAGCCAGTGCTTGCGCGCCCAGAGCATAACCCCTTAATTGGGGTAAGAAATAAATGTCCCTCTATTTTAACCTCAAAATTTAACATTATGCCTAATTATATTTAACAATATTTTGGAATAATGGAAGTTTGAAAATAGTTAAAAGTAGTTCAAAACCACAAACAGATGGCAAGATTTTCATACAACTGTGTCAATACAAAATGTTTTGTAAGTTGCATGCCTCCCTAACAGTGATAGTATTATTAATACTTCCATTTTTAAAACTTTATTATTTTTTATTTCCTGATAATATTAAAAAGATATTTCCATATCCATGGCTGCTAGCTCCACAAATTTCTCTAGTGCTCATCTCCTGTAATGAGCTACTTAATTCCCTTAAATATTCTATAATAAGAATTTTTAATAAAAGCAGAATTCAAAATGTAAGGGCAATGTGGAGGCTAGCAATGCAAAAATATGTGGAGGTGACCATAGGAATCATAAGAGGATTGAAAATTATAATTTTCTCAGTGTATTGGTGAATATGTCATAAAATATGTCACTTGTTAATATGTTTCTTTTACAATAATTTCAATTGAACTTTGATGTGGCCTTTCATCTAAATACTGAAGTAATCTTTTATATTAGCCAAGGAGGTTGGGAGGGAGAGAATTTCTTTTAGGGGCTCCTGTGCTCATCGCAGCACGTTTTCTTACATTCATAAAACATGATACATGCTATAATCTAAAATGAAGTTCCTCAGCATTATAACGAGAATTTTACTTGTTAGCGCTTACCAGAGGATTATGTTTTGTAATCAGATGTGGGGGAAACCTGATTAGACAACTTCCAACACACTTAACAAAATGCTTAAGAATTCTGTACTTACTTGGATTAAATGAAGAGATATATATTTTTAACTCTCACAGAATTTTAAAGTATACTTAATGTTTGCAGGACTTGGTGGGGAGTTGAGTGTGAGTAACAGTTCTGATGATGAGAAAGTCAGAGCCTGGGAGAGCAGCCTCCTACCCACGCACGCTCAGCAAATTGACTTGCGACGAGCCGCCCTCAAGCCTGGCACTTCAGGGTCCACTCTCAGAAGTCGCTGCAACAGGAGTATTTGGACTGCAACCCAATTTAGGAAGAGAGTAAAAGCAGTGTGCAGGCTAGTATTTCACTTGGCTGAGGGAGATGATAGGGAGGCATGTATTTACTTCAGAAGTTTAGTGAAACCCTCAACGTATTTGATAGACCGGTAAGATATGAAACATCCAACTGCTAGTATATATCTATTTCAGATTTTTAAAAATATTTTAAATCATATAACATTTTTTACTGAATTAGGGCCAACAGGAATTATAATAGTTTATGTGTGTATATGTGGGTATGTTTGAATTCTGAAATTTCTAGTTTTATAGCTACTTTTGAGTACATTATACTATATCACCAGGATAATAATTTTTAAAATTTTTATCATGTGCTCATTTATTCCAAATTGCTGTTAGAAAAGATATAATGTTTAATATGTTTGTAACAAAGATGCATTTACTCAAGAAAAACTGCCATTGTCCAACTGTTAGTCCAAAAGGTATTAAAAATGGTAATAGCTTATAATGCATAATTAATATTTTTGAAAAATATCTACCATGTTTACAAAAATACATTTGTGTACATTTGACTACATATTTTTTCTTGATAATTTAATAGGTTTTTACAAATTTTAAACAACATCGATATAAGTTTTGATTAATAACTACCATATTTTAACCCTTCTAGATTCTTTTTTATGTATCACCCATTTATATCTTTTTTCCAACTATTCAGTCAGGTCTTCTTTTTCCCATTTGGTGAAGTCAAAGATATTAAATAATATTTCAATTGCTCTAAGAATTTACTCCAGGTTCTTGTTAAAATTTTTTTTTTCTATATAAAATTTTTTGAAGAGTAAACACTAATAAATTTGAAGAATAATCCTTATGTGATGATATGACCATTCCATAATTCCAAGACTATTGCCAATTCTTATTTTTTAAAGCAGTTTTCCCTGCCTGTATAAATGATTGATATATACCTTACATATAATATACATATTTATATAGTTATTTTATTATGAAATAATTTTATAAAATTTAAATTCATATTATTTCTATTATAACTATAATATTCTTACTCTATTTCTCTACATTACTCAATTATCCCAATATTTTATTCATTTACCTCTATAAAATCTTATATGTTGTATTTCCTCCGTGTTACTCTCAAGCTTTCACTCTTGTTTTTAGCTAGGTCTCTTCTTTCTATATTTTTGTTAATATAATTACACCATGATCTGGAATATCTATCTAATCTGGAAATCTAGGTCAAATTTTCATGAATCGGCTTACTAAGAACTACCATATGGTCATATTCTGTGCACTCAGTGACATCCTGTGTTTGGTATGACGTATTTATTTTTCCAGCGAAAGAGATTTGCCCGGTTTCTTAAGGCCCACTTTTTCTTGCTGAGCCGTTTGCCTGCCCGTGGTGCTGCAGTCTCTCCGGTGCCTGACATTCGTTCACCTCTGCATCTCAGAGCACACCGCCATTTCCTCGGGCGTTCCGCCGGCACCAAACCCAGTCTCCGACAGCCCCAGGCCGGTGCGGACACGGTCCCTCTGCATTTCTCTCCCGAGGGAGGCGCTGGGGCCGCGGGCCTTGCCGCGCGGTGTCAGCGAGGCGTGGCTGTGGTGGGCAAGCGCAGCAAACCGTTTAAGGCAATTATCGTTTTGGCTATTGTTCTTTTCCCCTCTTATAAGTAACATCGTGTTTTTTGGCTATATTGGGACAGCTTATTCAGTAGAAACCAGGAAGGCCTCATGTGTCAAGGAGTTTAATATTTATATGAAGTGAACAAATGCCTAGGAATTTGACGGGCGTGTAATTAAAGCCACCCACATCATTAGAGACTACTTCTGTTAGAGCGAGCTCGTAGCTCCACAAGACCCCGAAATGCTCGGAGTGGAGGAGGGGCCGATTCCGCACGCGGAGACCTGCCGCGCTTTCTCGAGCTGCACAATTGACTGTCGGAATAAGGAAGAGGAATTCTGCTCGTTTTGTGTCGAATCACCTCCAGTTCCTCGCCCACTCATCAGACTCGGCCCTGGCTGCACACGCCCCGCAGCCCTCCCCGCCTGCACGTCCCCGGCCCTGCTCCCCGGCCGGCGGCTCACACGCCCCGCAGCCCTCCCCGCCTGCACGTCCCCGGCCCTGCTCCCCGGCCGGCGGCTCACACGCCCCGCAGCCCTCCCCGCCTGCACGTCCCCGGCCTGCTCCCCGGCCGGCGGCTCACACGCCCCGCAGCCCTCCCCGCCTGCACGTCCCCGGCCCTGCTCCCCGGCAGGCCGGCTCACACGCCCCGCAGCCCTCCCCGCCTGCACGTCCCCGGCCCTGCTCCCCGGCAGGCCGGCTCACACGCCCCGCGGCTGCAGAGGAGCGGGCGGGAGTTCTCAGTCAATTAGGAACGAATTTGAACTGAAGATCTCACTCCCTTTATAAGCTTTATCTGACTGGATTAAACCAAAAGACCTACCTTTAAGTTCTGTGAGTCTCTCTTCTACCATACTTGGTCTAGTGTGTTATTGAAGTTTTCGATTTTTTATGTGATTCTTTCAATGAATTTTTTTTTATCTCCAGAATTTTTTTTTCAGGTTTCTCTCTCCAGGGTAAATTTCTCATTCATATCCTGAATTGATTTTCTGATTTCTTTGTGTTGGCTTTCAGTTTTCTCTTGGATCTCGCTGAGCTTCTTTAACCACTTCTGCACGGCGCTCACCTGCCCGACCCGCGCCCACACCGCGCTCCCAGTCCCCACGGCGGTCCGCGCTGCGCATTGATGGCGGTTGCTTTGCTCTTGTGCGATGAGGAAAGCTTGAAAGCACTGACAGCTTGTTTTACTTTACAGGCAGCTTTACTTGTCATGTAAATCAGAATAGGCAACATATACATATGTTTTTTCATTACGTTATTTTTAAATGTTCACAATTTTGTTTTGATGAATGAAAAATTAGAAACGTCAATTGAAAATTATAGTTTTATTTCATTCATATCATAAAGAAATAAGGCAAGTTTTTGAATATTACGATAAATTTTATTCTTTGGTATGATAAATTTCGAAGCATGGGGCTACACATAGGCCAATGTTACATTGTTTACAATAGTATCTAGTACTACACCTTTTATTATTTTGTGAGCATACAATACATCTTCTTAATGGATTTTTCCTTTTTGTTTTATCACTATTGTAAGGTGCTGGAAAATGACTTTCTCTAGAACACATGAGATTTTCTGATGCAGTACAAGGGTTGTAGTGCCTGTATTCAGATTACTGTTGTAGAAATTTTGTTATTAATGCTAAAGTCGACACTCGGCTGTGTGCTTTCATCTGTGGCTGTCTACTATAGTCAATGCTTGTACCCAAGTGGTTAAAGTCAATATATATTTTTTTTCATTTGGTTCTTTTTATTAGAAGAAATTGAGAATACGGCAAGTAGGGAACTCCCACGGTGAATGAACCATTACACAGATGCCCTTCTGGAACCCCAACCTTCTATGATCCCCAAAAATGTGCTTTGTGGCTTCAGCAATTTATAAAGGGGAAGGGGGGGAAATACTGAAAAAGGCCACTATTTAATGATGGAAAAATGAAGCTGTAGAGGTCCTAACAAGCCTAGGGCCAAAAAAAGAAAATTAAAAATCTGCACAGAGCAAGCAAGCCTCTGACTGCTGAGAGTAAGGCATTCAGGCGCCAACCTGGTGAGAGTTCTCAGCGAGCACTGTAAGGTCAAGTGCACATTGAGGCTGTTGGTAGTGAGTTGCACACAGACACACACATACAAATGGGCACACACATGCCCACATACACACCCAAAAGAGGGAGATTTTTACTGGATTCCACATTGGTGATGGTAATTTCATTTTTCCTAAGGGTTTGTGCTATGTTGAACCAGATTCTTCCTGCTTTGGGGTGTGGGTGACTGGGCCCAGAGGCTGCTACTTCTGTTGGTGTTATAACAGGGCTGCATCTCATACCCTGTGTCCCAAAGTGCATGACCGAAGAGCAAGTCTGGCTTCTGATATGTGCTGTTGCTCCCATGAAACTAAGTGAGCTTCCATCCAGATGGCCACTGTCCTACCGGACTACATTTTCTCAAAGGGATTAATACTGCTCTATATTCCGTCAGGCACTGCCACAATTTACCCACTGAGTCTCCTCTCAGACCACCTAGCACCCAGGGCAGTGACTTTATCCAGAACCAAAATACTCTTAAGTTCTTCCCAACTTCTACATTGGTTTCTTTCTTCCTGGATTCCAGCTTTTGCTGGAGATTAAAAGGGGAAAGAAAGGAGAAAAATAACTAAGAAAACTCTACTGAATAAAGAGACCCTTCCCATATTCCCAAACACCCACTGAGGATGCTAGCCCTGAGGCCAAGGGCCTCAATTTAGTCCCATAATCCCCAGGATGTGATAGAGTCACCCCAAGTCTTTGATGACAGTAACCTAAGACTCAAGTGCCAAAGTGTGGTTCACCTATAAGCCAAGATTAGGACTCTATGAACCAGATCCTTCCTCCACCACTCTCCCTGACACCACAGCACGGTGGCTCTGAAACATGAGCAATCATTTTGTACTTCTAGCAAGAATTCAAAGACACAGCCTTAAGGACTCTACCAGACTCTCTGGCAATAACATACTATTTCCTCTAACACTTCTTAACACCCTATCCCTGTGCAGTCGGGCTCAATGACAGCTGACAGCTCCACAGTGGGAAATGGACTCTGCTTCCCAAGACTTCCATTGGTTTTCTAGTTCAAGGAGAGCTGAGGTGTCTGTCACACCTACACTTAACAAGACAGTGGCCCAGAGGTGAGACTCATCCTTCCTAATCCTAACGAAGGGTTCTCTCAACTTATGTCAAAAGAGGAGGCACCTGGACAAGTCAGAATCTCATTTGTGGCTGGCTCCATGCTAGGAATTAGGATGCCAGGGAAAGGTCAATTTTTATTCCCAGAAGGGCGGGCAGTTGGGCAGAGAATAGAGGAAATTTACAGGGTGTTCCAGAGATCCATAGCAAAAATATGGAAAACTGTAACACTTCTCTAATAAGAATTATCCACAAACTTGAGCAGGATGCCAGGAAGTAACCAGATCAGCCCGTGCTAACATTTCCAGAGCTCCTTCACTATCTCCACCACCCCTTTACCAGCATGGATGGTAGAAGCAGGTGGCTCTACTCCTTAGAGAGGGTCACTGTCAGCCTACAAGTCAGTCTCTCAAATGACACCTTAACCAAAGCCTTTATCTAACCCATCCTGCCAGCCACTCATGTTCTGCTTCCACTGGGAAAAAACATACCATTTCCCTCAGGACTCCCAAAGGCTCTCAGGCTTGAGAGTGGTCGTGTGATCACCCGGCTGGGTTCGACTCTCCACTCCGCTCAGGTCCAAGGTATGTCAGCCTTTAGAAGGCACCTTGATGTACCAAGATATTGTACATTTGGGGCCATCATCTGATCCTCCTACAGTCACTTTGTGCAAAATTGAAACAGTGTGTGGTACTTGCATGTTTTGTTCTATGAGAAAATTCTCCCTCCCTTCTCTACCCCTATGTTTTAAACATTTATATAAATTCTTAAACAGTAAGTTAGAAATCTTATTTACATCAATTTCTTTGTTCTCCCAAAAGAGCATTGAAAATCACACTCCCACCCATTAACTGGATATAAATGTTCACCTAAATTGGTTTGTATTATTGTTTTAAGGAGAGAGAAAGGGAGAAGAAAAAACCGTCAGCCAAACTGGTTCCCCATCTTATACAAATAAATATGATACGGATCAGAAGCCAGTTTGCCAAGGGTCTTGCAGAGCCCTCAATCTGGAGATCCCAAGAGTAAGTCAGGCTTTGGGCCAATTCTCCATATTGATGCACTTCATCCTTTGAGGTATGATTTATTTTGTTTTTCTCTTCTCAGCTGTGTACCATGTGGAGCCCCTGGGCTGTCACAAAGCCCAAGAGGCTGTCAAACTTTGGGGGCTCCTTTGGTACTGGCATGAGTGGCTGGCAGAGAGGCCTGCAGGTTCAGGGTCAAGTCCCTGGCTCCTGGTAGGTGTCACAGTGCATCCTCCTCACTGCAGCCCCCGCCGATCATGAAACGTAACTCCTGCAGGTTTGAGACACCATGGAAGTGAACAAAAGCTACGGCAACCACGAAGATATGAAACAACTGATGAGAGTGAAACCAGATATCACATTTGCCAGGAAAGAAGCTTTCAGGGATGTGGGCAGCATATAGGGCTGCCCCTGTAATGTAGAGGCTGGCCATCAACAGCAACCAGCCAATCTGACCTATGGTGGCAGCCTTCAGGAATCCCTGGAGATGACATAGTGCAAGGTGGGAATGATTCCACTCAGGCCTAGGCCCCAAAACACACCTGCTCTTACTCCCCGATACTGAGGAGTGGCAAACATGTCCCACTGGGAGACTATAATGGCTGCAATGCCCAGCACACAGATGACAATCCAGTAGATGAAGCAAGGTTGTGGATTACAGTAGAAAGAATAATAAAGCCAAGGAACAAAACTTCCCATAATCAGAAGAGCAATACCAGAGTAATCCAGTTTAGAGAAGAGCCGGGAAACCCCTTCTGAGTGGCAGTAGACTGTATGGAAGAGCCAAGAAAAAGAAAGGCAGAGAATGGCTCCCAAGAAAAATAATCCAAAGACCACTTTCTCTTGCAGAGGGGCCACAAAGGAGATGTTTGGGCGGAACATATAAAAGATCCCCAGGCACAGGAAGAATACACAACCTAAGAGATGTGTCCAGATGTTGCCTGTCTCTGTGTGTATTCTGAAAATGCTCTTAAAACAGGCTCGGAATGAAGGCATAGGAGGCCGGTGTCCATGTAGAAGGAAGTCGTTATCCTTGAGCCAGTCTGGTAGTACATCATGAGGGATTACTCGCCACCGTCCTTCCCAGACCTTAGAAACAAACTCTTCCATTCTTTCCATAGCATGATGGGCTTGTAAGAGAAGGGACATCCCCATAAACCCGTCATCTTCCTGAGAAGCTTCATCAATGCACTCATGCTCCTCAGAGGTTTTTCTATGATGGGAAGAAAGAACAGATGCCTCTATAATAGGCTCCAAATCTCCTTGGTGGTTGTCATTATCACCTCCCCTTGTACCATCAAGCTGGTGCCCTTTTCTGAGCCTTATATTTGGCTCTGGAGTCCTGCTGCACCCCAGTCGGTTTTCTGCTGGCTCGTTCATGGGATACTCAAGGCTTTCTTACAAAGAGGTCTTTCTTTCTGTCCCTTCTTCTTGGGAGAATGTACTTTCAGAGTAGTGAATTGACCCTCTACCAGAAACATCTGGAATAATGCCAAATCCATTAATGTTATCACAACTGCATGCTTCAAGGTACTGGTTGCTTGCTGCCTTGACATTCTTCCTGGAGCTTGCGGCCGCCCCTCCACACGGCTCGGACTCCTCAGGAACCACGGCTGAGGGGAGAGGGAGGAGGGGGAACGGAGGAGGGAGGGGGCCCAAGCCGGTGTTGCTGCCACCGCTGCCACCCACCAAAGTCAATATTTTGAATTCTTTGTCTGGCATTTTGAAAATTTCATTTTGGTTAGGAACCATTGCTAAAGAGCTACCGTATTTCTTTGGAGGCATCATCACAACCTGCGTTTTCATAGCTCCAGTATTACTGTGCTGATGGCCTCACATCTGGAGAAACAGCTGCTACTTCTTATTTCTGAATCTACTTTCTTTGGGGAAAAACTTTTTTTTCTTGAAGATGTGACTATGATGCATTTCGAGTAGGGTTATTTGGTTTTGCTTCTGGAGGCAGTTGGTGGTGGCCTCTGTATGGTGTCCTTGGTTATAAATAGCCTAATAGGTGCGGTGCTGGTTTTAGTAGCACTGTATTGGCTGGGTCAGGAGGCTTAAGCCTACTAAGTAGCAGAGGGGGAAGGTGTGGGTGATGGTGGTAGTGGAGGTCATGTGAGGCCTGCTTCCTCACCAAGCTCTGTGCACTTGCTCCTGCAGACATTTTAAAGAGCTGTGTGTGGCGCTGCAGGAGAGAGCCAGCTGTGGTGGTGGCACTGGCATTTATGCTTAAACCTTGTTAACCAGGAGAAGTACTTTGGTGTCCCAGGAAATGGGTTGGCCATGCAATGAGTAGGGGTGGCAGTCCCATGTTCTGTCTCTGGAAAGTTGGTCAAAGCCAGCCGAGGCTGGGCCAAGTAAGCCTGCACTGGGCCCCTTAACACTGGATGTAGGTGTTGACCCAGCAAAGGCTGGGGGACATCCCAGGGCCCCTGGAGAAACACTGCAGTGAGGAGCATCAGAGACCCATGGGGAAAGAGAGGCAGCTTGGGCTCCACAGCCTAGCAAGGTGGTAGTGGGAGCCACTTAGCTCTCATGCTCCCAGCCCAACACTGGCAGCAAGTTGGGACAGCTAGCTAAGCCACATGCAGCTTGCCTTCAGACCAGGAAATAACCCCAGGCACACAACGCCCAGCCAGGGCCAAAGCCATACCTCTTAGGCAGAACCCTTCCTGGCCTGGCCCCTCGGCGGGTGGAGGGGACTCAGCTCCAGTGTCCAAGCTGGGGCCACGTCACACTCACTCTCAGCTCTGGCCATGGGGACTCCTCCCCGAGTCAAGACCAGGTCTCAAAGCCATGGCTGGCAAACCAGTGACTGCACCCTCACTGGCTGGCAAGATGCCTGTGGCCAATTGTGAGTGAGGATCGGGGAAAGCCTCCTCTCATTAGTGCTCAGTTCTTGGAGCACATGTGGGGCACTTCCCAGTGCCCTTTCTTCTCACAGTCCCTGACTGCTCCCCAAGTCAGATTCAAGGCTTCAGAGGGTCCCTGTGGCCTGGGAATGTGTATGGCAGAGGCATTCATTTCCCCTCTCCTGTGCTGAGGACTCACTCATAATTGTCTGCAGGATCCTGCCATGTGGACTGCCTTCCTTTTAGCAGTATCCAAAGTTTACTTTTGCTTTTATGTTTACTCCTGTGTTCCTTGAATACACACAAACAGAATGAATCTCTCTACCCTATTTTGCTATTTCCAAGTTGGCAAGGCATGCTGGCTAAGCCTCTATTCTGCCATCTTGGAATTGGAAAAAAATAAATTCCTCGCTAGGCTTTGGTATGAAGTGGTATTTGTTAGATTTCATACAATTAATAGGAAAGTGGCTCTCCTGGCAACAAATCGAGAGCTTCTGCAAAAAGCGGCAAGGAACTGAGACCTCTCTTGGAATTTGATCCACTAGCATCGGATTGCTAGAAATTTTTATTTTTACTATATATATTATACAGACCTTAGAATAATTTAATCCCAATCGCCTCCTCCTCCTTGTACTGCTGTCCAGCAGTTCATTTTCACCTTAGTTTTTCTGTCCTCAGATTATTTATCATCATTGGTCAAGTGGGCACTTATTTAGATTTACCTATGTGCGTTAGTTTCTTTCTTCACCCACTGCCACGCCAGGTACCAAATCACTGCCTCCCAGCTCCAACGTCTGCTCAGTGACGTGGAGCTGGTGCTGTTTCTCCTTCACCGCGGAGACGATGTAATGCTAGCCTGTGTCAGCAGAGGGCGCGAGAGGCTCGTTGCCGGAGGGCCTCTGTTCCCAGCGCGGCTCCGTCCCGTCCGGCCTGCAGCAGGTGGACTGCGCAGGGCGCGCCGCCCGCAGCTCGCTGGCTCTCCTTAGAGACGCGATCTCGTGCTCGCCAGCCTTGACTTTTTCATTTCACTCCACTTGTGATCAATTTTTTTCTTCTCATCCTTTGTTTATTGATTAAATGAGAGTTTATCAGTGATGAATTTTCTCAGCCATTGTTTAGCACTTGGTCTTTCACGATTTAGCACTGAATTCTGAATGACAATTTGACTGGATATGAAATTCTAGAGTAACAGTTATCACCAGTTTTTCAACCTGAAAGGTTTTTTCGTTGTTGTTGTTAATTGTTCTTTAGCATCTTGTTCATTTTAGAAATTCAAGTCCCCATTTTATGCCTTAATTATATGAAATTATTAGTGGGATGTGTGTAAAACCACCCTTTGTTTTATCTGCTGACAATCCCTCATGGGAATTATTTGTTCAGGTGTTGTCACTTTGGATTTGGGGCTCAGCTCCAGTGGGACTTTTCTCTGGCTGGTCTGTGGCCTGGGGCATGTTCCTGTAAGAGTGATAAAATCGCCACAACCCTAACACCTCACAGTAAACACGGCTTTAATTGCTGTCTGTGGGGACCAATTTTATTTGATTGTTGGCTGTGGGTCTCTACATCATACAGTTTAAATTTTAGACTCAAAAGTAGGGTAACACTTAGGTACCAGGTTTCAACTTCTTAAAAGAAACTTTTAAAAAGCCCAGATTCTAGTAATAAACCTTGCCATTTCTCTGTGACAGTGGAGAGTTTTTTATTTTTGTCTAGATAGGCAGCAAAACCCAAGCTCCTAGCAATTATTAAATTGAATAATTCAGTAATTCAACCGACTGCCAATATGCCAGGTTGTGCATGTTGTTTTCTAGCAGTTATTCAGCAAAACAGGGAAGGCATATAGTTGGAATCAACCAGGTTGGGTTGCTCTCCCAAGAAAAGTGCAATAAAAAAGATGACACAGCAAGAAAATGTAGACCACTGGTAAGAAAGTCACCGCATTTGTGGAATCAGACTTTCTGAAGTGTGTAGGGGAGAAGTGAAGGCAGCAGGATATCGCGGTGGATGGACACGGAGAGGGAAAGGGTCAGTGAGGTGGACGCTCCCGGGAACCAGTGAGTGATGATACTGTAAGGACAGGAAGCTGTGATCATGAAACAGAATACCTGAGCAAGGTTTTACAAGTGCGGTAATTCTCGTGTAATGAAAAGGAGCAGACATGGCCATAGATGGCTGAGGTAGAAGGTAGATGGCTGTTTTTGGTGATAAATTGCAAACTATGTCTCTGACAAGGGGTTAATATTCAGAATATAAAAGGAACTCAAACAACTCAATAGCAAAACAAACAAGCAACATGACTTTAAAAACGGACAGAGGACCTGAAGAGACATTTCTCAACGGAAGACATACACATGGCCAAGAAGTAGGTTCAAAAAAAATGCTCAACATCATTAATCACCAGGGAAATGAAAGTCAAACCACAGTGTGGCATCACCTTACCCAGATTAGAGTGACTGTCACTTAAAAGACAAAGTGTGACAGACGCTGTGGGGCTCTGAGAAACAGGAACCTCACACACTGCTGGTGGGAATGTGAGTGAGCACAGCCGTTAGGAAAAACTCTATGGCAGTACTCAAAAATTTAAAAGTAGAACCACCATATGATTCATGAATCCTGCTGCTGGGTATTTACACAAAGAAATTGAATCAATATAACCACTACTTTGATCACTACACAATGTATGCATATAGTGAAACCTCATATTGTACCAAAAATATGCAAATTTATGTGTCAATTAAAAATACAACAGCACTTTTTAAAAATACAGAAGACTTGTTCAAAGGAAAAATAAATCCAGGAAAGGAGAGGCCAGAGAATTGAATCGGGCCATCTAAATGGACAAGAAAGTGACTCAGGATGAGAAGTTGAAAGTTTTCAAAGGAACAGAGAGTAGGCAGGCCTGAAGGGCGTTGCCAGGCAGTGGCGGTGGGCGCGCAGAGCCGTGCGGAGCCCAGGGAGTCTATAACCCGAACTTTCTGAAGTGCTCGAGAGCTGGAGAGAATGAGTGGTCTCTCTTTGAGGAATAAGTGATGCAATGTCCTTAAGGGAAACCCAGGTCACACTTAAGACAAGGAGATGCAGAGAGCTGTTACCACAAGAGCAATCTGATGAAAACAGGGTGGTTAAAGGAGAAAAATCAGAATACTATCGTGTTGAGAGAACAGTAGACTGCAGGGGAACAAAGGGCTTATGGTTTGGATGGAGGTCAAAGAAACCAGGAACGTTAGCAGAGAGGGTTCCCACATCCCACAGGAGAAAGGGGGGTGCAGGAGCCTCCTTAATCTTCTGACACGGAGTTGGCGTCTCAGGCAGTGAGCAACAAACTCCGCATCTAGTCACGGGACACTCAGGTGTGGCCGTCATCCCAGCAGCTTTGGCCCAAGGTCTCTGGTTCCAGGTCAGAGCAAGGCCTCAAACCCACAGACCAGGGACCAAGAGGTTCCCTATGAAAAGGAAGGTTCTGCTCTGGAGCGCCCGCTGCGTGACCCCGTCCAGAGGGTGGGAGGTGACGCTGCCGCTCGGTGCTTTGTGCCAGTTTGTGCTCCCTCCCCCCTGCCCTCCCCTTGGCCCAGTTCTAGTCCCGGCTGCTTTGTCACCCGCTGCCTGCCCGTGGCAGCTCCCTCTCTGTCTCCAGTGTCCTCACCGGTGTGATCGACACCACGTCTCTCTTTGTGCAGCGACATAAATGCTGTAAGGAGCTCTGAACAGTGCAGTAGGCTGAGGAGACTGGGGCACTGGCTCCGTCCTGCGTCCCAATTCCTGCCGCAGGGCCACTCTGCCAGGCCCTGACCCCCAACTATATCCTGACCCCTGGTCACTCTTTGCCTGC